TGAGCCGGTGAGATTTGAACAGCCGAACTGCAGAACTGCAGTCAGCTGAAGTAGCCTGCAGTGCTGCACTCTAACCACTGCGCCACCTTGGCTTATTACTATTTTAGTGATACCTATAGACTATAATGTGTAGTGACTCTTCGAAATCCTGTATTACTGTATTACATTTTGCATCCACGGATAGCACAGAGATTCTGAGAACAGCCACCCTGATTGTAGCATCCATTGCCTAGGCCATGTGTTATGGATAATTTCTAATCTGAAAATGTTGAGTAAGCTGCTTAGTTGCTTCATACAGTTGCATATGCAACTGAATAGCCTGTAGGATATTTATGAATGCTGCCTAATTATGCTCACATATGCAAATGTCCTGCCTGGCCTGACATCATGACAGCCTTTTAAAAAAAAACCCATTGGGATGCATAAATAAGTGACAGCAATCTGCATCATCGGAACAGATGCTTGCAATCGACGATTATTTATTTTAATTAGTCATGCGTCATTTTGAAGTTCTTGTATTGCAGTTGACTTGCCTTGCAATATATATCAAGTCACTGTGGTCTTTTCCCCCCTTCTCCTTACTGAGGACAGGTGGTATGGAAGCTGGAGTCACACTGGCTGATGTCTGGTGCTACATGTCGCTCCTTGATAACTGGAATCTCGTTTCCCGAATGACAGTGCCACGATGTCGACACAACAGTTTGGTTTACGATGGCAAAATATATACCATAGGAGGCCTTGGTGTAGCGGGCAATGTTGATCATGTGGAGAGGTAAATTTATTTTGTGTACAGAAAATAGTTCTGAAACTACTCAGAAATTTGATGGTGAAAATAGCATATTTTTTTTCAGATTCTTTAGTAGGTTGGATATTTTTTTAAAATAAGATAAGGTTGGGTTTGGGTTTTGTTCTGTTTTTGTTATTTTAGTTCCTCCTGAACCAGGTCTTTGTAAAAGTGTGACTGAGAATAAGGAGTCTAGGTAAGCAACACAAAAGTCATTAAAGAGGAGCTTAGATGTACCAGATCTCTGTTTACTTTCCCATTGGAGTTATCCTGGTATACTATTATTCGAGGAAACCCAACAAATCAGTTTAACAGACATGCAGGGCAAGAATAATATCTCTAAAACCAGCAGGGAGGTTAGCACTTTTTTTATTCCTGTGACTTTAGCTTTTATAAATTTAGAGAACCATCCTTCTGCAACTGATTATATTAAAGGGAACTGCTTCCAGAGATCTGCACCCCAACAGGCCCACCTCAGTACCAACTCAGTGGCCCACCAACCAACACACAAGGGCGTCTCAAAATTGGCCAACTCAGCATATCTGAGACATTTCTGAAGTATCTCCATTCCTAGTGGAGGTTAATTGTTTGGGGTCTGTATCATGTGAGCATGTGTTGTGATCCTATTGCTTCTGCACAGCATAATAAAGTGATCACGAAGACCATTTTTCATGGTTCTTTCCCAATAGTATTTTATTCTGGTGCCTAAACTTTGAGTACAAGGGCACAATTGTTTCTCAAACTGCCTGGAGAGAGATGTATTATCCAAATGCCTCTTCAGTGTGTTTTTTAACTATTAAAAACTAATAGTAAAAAAAAAACAACCCTAATTCATTTGTAGAATTAGCAAAAGTCTATCAGCTTTCCCAATAGTTACAGAAGAGACCCATCCTACGTCTGTGTTGTAAATGTTGAGGACAGTGATTTGTATGGATTACGGAGTAAGAAATTTAGTTTTTTTCATTAAACGTCAACTGAATCTCTTAAGACCCAAAACAACCACTCATATCTTTTATACAAAACAATGGGGAACCTGCTCTGACCCCCCACTCCTCCATCCAGGAACGAAAGCCAAAACAAACATAAAAGGGAATGTTTTTTAATCAGTCCAGACTCTCGTTGGCTGCAAGCCCAAAATAAACAAAGAGATAAGCACTCTGGCAGCAAGTACTACAAACCTAGGCCAAAGCAAACAAGCTCTCACAGCCAACCAATTCGCCAAGTTGGTTTCTCTTAATCGTGAACGTTGACTTCTGCAAAAGGGCATTGCACCAGCAGTCTCTTTTA